AAAAGTTCAAGAAAGAGTCTCCAGATTTGGATAAACAATGTTCACAAGTTAACAAATATCAAGTCAAATAAAATCATTTTTTAACTTTTAAGTTCATTTGTTTTTAGTAATCATCAAAAAGAAATTTTCAAAATAAAAATTTTGGGACAGCAAACGTTTTGTTCATATTTTACTACCCAAGTGGCAATAATCAATAAATCAAATTGTAGACTATGCCCGGGTCCTCTCAGACTGGGTTGGTTTTAGGTTCATAGTTCTTCCTTTGAGCGTTCGTCTTTTGACCTATCGTTTGTTCTGTCGTTGAATACTAAGTGACTAATTAATTTGAACTTATAAATCTGTTATTTATCAATTTAATTCATAATAATATCACTTGTCGACTTAATAACAAATTAACGGTCTAGAAATTATGGTTTTGCGAAATAAATTTTGATTATTGACTAACTTGTAGTCATAATAATTTAATATTTCTAATCGTACTAACTCTTTTAAAGGGAGGATCCAGTGATTATAGGCCCTCTGTCAGAGAATTTTAATACTATTTTTTTCGGAAATTATTTATAAACATACAATGTCATCTTAGAACATGTCAAATTATAAGCAGTCAAATATATCCATATATAGCCTGACATTGTCAATTTTCATATCAGAAAAAAAAATTAGCTTGAATCAAGAGAAAAATTATTGAACCAACAAAATAATTTTAAAAAATTTCTTTGTCTTGAATGAAGACAAAAAATTCTTGAATCAAGTATAGTCTACGTAAACTGAAAAAAATTTCTTAGTTTAAAAATTTTCTTCTTTAAAGCAAGTTGATAAAGCTCTTCAAACTGATTTTCTTGATTCAAGTTAATGTTTTTTCTGTGCAGTTCTTACGATTTATGAGTGGTAATTTTTATAACAATGCGATCGTATCCGTTTTTCATTCATCGAATCTATAGTTACTTCTAGCATTTATATATTAAGAACCATTTTACAATAATCTTAATTATTGAATTCTTTCACTTGAACTCTGAAAATTAGATTTTAGGATACATTTTCATTAAAAATACTTTACTCATAAGAAATATTAAGTGTACAGGTCAGTAAATAAATACTTGAATTTTCAAAAAATGACAAATAAATAGATTTTTTTTTCGTTATAATTCTACTGGGTTTTGTACATCATGTTTTTTGGGCTGTTTCGACTCATTTTTAAAATCACTCACTGACTCGTATGCATGAAATTTTTAATAAGTAAATTACTCCGCAACAATACATCCTAAAATTTGATTTTCAGTGTCCAATTGAATGAGTAATATTTATAAATTATAATTATTGTATAATGATTCTTAATATACCCTTTAATGGGTCAAATAAAAAATCTTAATTTTGATTTGGTTTGACTTAATTTCCTTTGAAATAATCAATTTTCTGACGATTTTACCCTAGATCTTTACTTTTATAGACTTTTTTTTTGTCTTAATACTGATTTAATCGACTCTTTTCGACTTAAATTATTTAGTTACTTTACATTTGACTTATTTTTGCCTTTTTCTGACTTAAATTTAACGATAGACTATAAATGCAAGACTATCTGGATGGAAAACCTTACAACTATACGTACCATAAAATTTTACCACGGGTTTAGTTAATAAAAATATTTACGCCAATTAAAACTTGTAAAAACTAACTTGACAGTTAACTCTCGCACGAATAAAGTCAATGAGTGAGTTGGATGTTTCTGATAATGATAACAGAGAATGATGTAAATATTTTAGGTTATTGCAACGTCAGGAAAGTTTATCTTTCATCAGTTCATCACCGTTGACTATTGTGTACATACATCTATCAACAACAATGTGAAACTCGAATTTAACAGATTGAGTTGTTTGGACGCCATTAGTTTTAATGAGGTCGGTTGGATGTCGCGAGAAAACCGGACGTGTTGCTGGTGGTTGCTTCCGGAATAGTACCTTTACTTGTTTGATGTTAATGCCCCATCCATTTTGTCTCTCGTAATTTGTAATTGGCAAGTTCGAAACAACTTGATCTCGTTTGCACAACGCTGATGAGATGAACATTGTGCTCGTTTACCCTCCAACCAAAGTACTAAAATTTATTTGGCCCATTTCTTTTTATGTAATTTGTTATATTTATTTTATTTATTCAATTTTTAGTGATATTGAAAAGTAGGTCGAATGTAATTGGAGCTAAGCCTCGGCTATCACAGGCTTGACTAATGGAAAAGAATTTCCTTCCTTCCTCTTTTGTTTTTACAGTATTCGTCCTGTTTCCTGAAAAGCCAAAGCTGAACTTTAAAGTTCCGGCTCGCCGCATATCATGTACCGATACACCAAGTTATCGAATTTCAATCACGTCCTCGTACTTTCCACGAGCTCACGCGAATATCGCCTTTCTTTAAAAAAAAAAAAAAAAAAAATATATATATATACATAAAATAAAAATGGTGGAAGCAAAGAATAAAAAAAAATGTTAACTCATCCCACGGGTAGGTGTGCACCGATTTTACAAATAAAATAAAAAAGTATTAGAAAATCCGGGCGAGAAAAGAGGCTCTTTCCCGGGGAAAACGGTTTAGATCTGATCAGACATGGGATTGGAGACATAATCAGATCTAGTTATATCTTATCAGATCTAAACAGATATAACTATATCTGAGTTGAAAAATTCATCAGACATGATCGGATCTAGTCATATCTGATCAGATATAACTATATCTGAGTTGAAAAATTCATCAGACATGATCAGATTTAGTCATATCTGATCAGATATAAACAGATATAACTATATTTGAGTTGAAAAATTCATCAGACATGATCAGATTTAGTCATATCTGATCAGATATAAACAGATATAACTATATTTGAGTTGAAAAATTCATCAGACATGATCAGATTTAGTCATATCTGATCAGATATAAACAGATATAACTATATTTGAGTTGAAAAATTCATCAGACATGATCAGATTTAGTCATATCTGATCAGATATAAACAGATATAACTATATTTGAGTTGAAAAATTCATCAGACATGATCAGATTTAGTCATATCTGATCAGATATAAACAGATATAACTATATTTGAGTTGAAAAATTCATCAGACATGATCAGATTTAGTCATATCTGATCAGATATAAACAGATATAACTATATTTGAGTTGAAAAATTCATCAGACATGATCGGATCTAGTCATATCTGATCAGATATAACTATATCTGAGTTGAAAAATTCATTAGACATGATCAGATCTAGTCATGTCAGATCTAAACAGATGTAACTATATCTGGGTTGAAAAAAAAATCAGACATTAAAAGATTTTATTATATCTGGCCAGATATAACTATATTTGTTAACTATTAATAAATACTTATAAACTATTTTACTAAATATACTTTCCTCCCAAATAAATATTTATTGAATGTTAAAAAATATTTATTAGAATTTAATAAATTAAATAATTGTTTTCGAATAAATTAATTTGTTAATAGTTAATAAATCTTTCTATCAGCGTATATTGACAGTTTTAATAATGCAAATTTAATAAAAAACTTTGTTCATTACGCATCGATCATGGACACGATTCACATTACTTGTAGTTACTACAAACTCTGCTCTTCAAGTAAGCTTCGTTGGTAAACAGGTAATGAATTAGTCATAACGGAGTTTACAACCCTTCTCCAGTATAGAAAAAAATTAATTTATTCATACAATTAAAAAATAAAAAGAAAAAAAACTGAAATGACCTCGAAAGAGCAAGAATTTATAAGAAAGTTGTACTGCATTGCGTTGCCCAGCCTGGCCATTATGTGTATCAAAAAATGTAATTAAAGCTTGTTTTAGTTTGTTTAAGCATTAAATAGTTTTAAGGAATAATTGTAAATTTTCTATGGGTTCAATAAAACAAACATTTATAAAAAAAAAAAAAAAAAAAGGGTAATGAATTAGTCTCTCAAGCATCAGGTCCCAGGTTCGGTTCCCGCGCGCGCTGATTTTTTTTTTTTTTATGGAAATAATTTTATATAATTGTATATAATTATATATGGCCATTTTTCGTATATAATTATGTATGAGTATATATAATTATATACTCATGTATGAGTATATATAATTATATATAATCTTTTTTACCTGGGCAATTTTAAAATCTGACCAGATCTGGTCAGATCTGATTATATCTGGCCAGATCTCGTCAGATAGAGACAATTTAAAGATCTGGCCAGATCTGTTTATATATGGCCAGATCTAATCCGTTTTTCCCGGGATGTTTACACAAAATCAATTTTAAGCTTATAGTTACCAATTATTTACGACTACGATTATTAACCGGAGAAACATAATCCTCTACAGGTAACTCTACAGGAAATTCTTTCAATCCTTACAACTAAATAGTTTCACAACTCTCCACCTCCGACTCTAAATGTAATTATATACAACTATCTATGATTATATAAAACTGTATGTAATTATATTGATTTTTTTGCTATATTCTTCAAGAAAACTGTATGAAAATCTCATAAAAACCGTATAGGAATCTCAAAACACAATGTATAAATTTATGTGAGAGTCTTGGCTAGTTTTCTACATGAATTATTTTAATAAGAAAATCTGAAACTAAAAATACATGAGTGCGTTTTAGAATAAAAATTATAAGTCAAAAATAAGGTACGTTTTTAATAACTCAAGGTACAAAAATTACAAAACAAATAAATATCTTATAGCAAGCATAGTAAACATAAGCATTTATTTGATAATCAATCGTAATTCGGATAAATTGGTTTTGAAGTCGCTTTAAAACTTACATAACGAATTTAGCAGTAGGTCAAAGTGCGAAGCTATAGGCATAGTTATAAATTAGTCCTCTTCTTGATTTAATTATCTTGTTAACATTGAACACGATAAGAGTGGCTGGAAATCTAACATAAATACCAGATATTGACATATTATGCAATCAGTCTCACAGCGAATATACTCTATGTGACGTGACGTATATAAAAATGTCTTTTACGATTCACAGAAAGTTGTGTCTAGTGCCGAGGAAGTGGTTAGGATTTAACATGGATAATTTAGAAGTTTTAGTGTGCAAAGTGATAGCAGAAGATCTCCGACACAACAGAGAGTCGATAGGCTCCTCACTTCGCATTGAAAAAGTGTCAGCAAGATTACGGTATTACAACGGACACCCTTGGATGCAACGAGTCGACGACAAAAGTGGAAAGCCTGAGTTGACGGAGTACTACGGACTCTTCATACCATGCGCTCATTGCACTGAGTTCATGTAGTCTCTTTATTACTTTGGGCCTTAAATACCTGGAGCTGTAGTGGAGCTAAAAGGTTGCGATAGATATTAATATGTAAACTTTTAATTAATAATAAATATGGTATGTACGGCACTTTTTTTTTATCCTATTGAACCATATAAGTATTATTGACTTAACACGAAACCTAACGCAATCATTCATACATTTATGGGATATTAAAACTCTATTTGAATAGGCGAAACCCATTTGTTATTGTAATCCATTGGCGAGCACCCTGTAGATGTGCGACTGAATTTTATTGTTGACGTATGAAATACTGTTCGTTATATCAATTCAGTATTTAATTCAATCTGACACCCGTTGTTCTATAACCCATGTGTTATGGTTAACACTGACATGATCCAGCATTATCTGACATTATGAAAGATTGCTCAAAATCTAATCAAGTCATAAAATTTTAAATATAACAATATGTTTTTTAAACCAATGTCTAAAGCTATTTGTTATTAGAGAATAAAATCAGAATACCTATGCACATGTAATGTTAGTCATTAAGTTCTAAAACATAATTTGTTAGCAAGTTTTTAAGTATTCGGTTGATTAAATTATTATTGAGGTCATCTAGCTTCAAACGTTACCCAGTGAATATATTTTTCAATGTTTACGAGGCGCTAACTAATATAACCTCCGTATACTGTTGAAATAATAAGAAAACAGTGACATCTTTCGCTGAAAATAAAAGCAAATTCTCCGAACGCACGAATTACATCGTCATTTCATTTATTTCTAAAAAGATCTACATTTACAATTTCCGGTTAAAACTATAAAAGTTGTATTTGTCACCTATATCTACATAATTAGAATAACTTATCTATGCTGTTGCTTATTATGTAACAGTACGCCAGTTCAAAAACAAGTTTACATCATTCTAAGATAACATTCAGAATGTCAATGTCACTGAGTATATAGTTGACAATCTACTTATTATAGGTCAGGTATTTCTTGAATAATATTTATATTATGATAGCGATTTGATGCGAGATGGTAATTCAATGGCTTCATCGGAAAGTACCCGTTTTCTATCTAGCTATAGACATTAGATGTTATTGTAAGCCGTTCACGGAAGCACTCATTGATAGCATGCAATACTCAAATAAAAGTTCTATGAAAAGAAATAGAGGTACAGTATGACTCAGTCTACACTGACGTCAGGCAGCGAAAATTAGTTTCGTCCACGCAAGGCTAATATTCATCGATCACCTACATTGATATTGAAGCTAAGAAAAGATTTTGGCACGCTATTATTGAAAGTGGTCAATTTCAGTCAAGGAGTTTATTTTATGGATTAGCTGCGAAGTCGATAGTACCATGCTTGGTCACAGAAAAGGTGTCCGGCCAGCTACGTCCAGTTTTCAAAAAAGCAGCTGAAGCCTTCCAGAAGTACGTCGCGGAACACACACGTGAAAACTAGTTCCAAGATTGGTTTGTAAGCATAGTGTATGTAAACAAACATATTGCTAGTCGATGATGCAAGATACCTTCAGAGTTTTTCTTGGTTAAAAAAACTTGAAAATCAATTCCACAGCTGATAGAACATCGAACTTGATTGCTGACGAGTCTGTATTTCTCTGAGCTCGCGGCTGAGCTTTTTCCAAGTCATGATAGCGTATTCTTCAGGTAAATTGACATCCATGTGTGCCATCAGGAACAAACATTCTTCATATGTATCTAGAACGAGAACATTTGCTGATTAAAATAACCACACAATAGATCAACTAGCTAGTGAATATTCTATGAAAGTACGTCACTTACCGAGCTCACATACGAACGTCGCTGCGTGTCTTGGCCAACTCAGTGATGGAGGTGCATAGTTGATGATACGATCAATTGAGAACGGCAGTTCTTCCGCCGTGGGGTAGCGCAAAAAAACGTCATCTGAGTTTCCAAATTCGAGCCAGGTTTTCGGGACGCTCTTATATGGATTTTGGCCTAAATTAGAGACCTCGTAAAACTGTACAACAGCAAATTTCTTTGGCAGAGTCATCTTGCTAAAACCCAGCCTGTCTAATAGTAGAAAAACCGCAACAGAGCACATCACTTATGCAAGTAAACTATTTTCTTCAGGTTTCACGTATATATCTAGGTGCTCTAGATAATCGAGGAATAAAAACAAGGGGTTATCGTTACTAGACTTTGACACGGAATCACATTGCTTGGTAAATTAACAACGTGCTCTTATAATGTCCTTAGATACGCTTAATTAATTGCAACCGAGTAAAAACAAAGTTATAATTAGCTGATAGTTAAATCAATCACATCTAGAGTCAAAGTTGATTAAAACAAAATAATCAATACGTGGTCACGAGGACGCAATGAAACTAAATGTACTTCGCATTTTTTATTTATTTTGGTGAAAAAACAAAGATTTTTTCATATTTTTCGTCATCAAAACTTATCCTAGTCGACTCAGATTAGCGATAGCCCCAATTGTATGGAGTTTTTAAAGAACTTAGTCAGCTAGAGCGTTCGCTCTACTAGAAAGATTCCCAAACTTGAAATTTAACGGACTTGGTCGTTTTTGAGCAGTATCTACCAGATTACGTCATAGTGTTGATAAGAGAGTTGTTCATCATTTTAATTCACTATTCAAAAAGCTTAAGATTTCCTTATTAGTGAACGATACTTGTACAATTTAGTTAAAAATTCCAAAAGCCATGATACACAATTGGCTGAAGCTATTCGCACCACTTTTATACGCGCATGTTGCTGTAAATTAAACACTAAAAGTATGATACATTTTTTACAGTAAATTACGTGCTTAAAAGCCGTGCAAATAGCTTCAATATACATAATTCGAAAAGCTTCTTAATTTGTTAAGTTGTTCCGGACTTGTAACCTAGCAATAACTCGAAAATTCGCTATTTATAAACCATCCTGATTCAGCTTTGGCACATAACTATGTCACCCGTAGTTTCCTTGTACCGTCAAAATTGGAATCAAAATCAAAATATTGACAACCCCATTATAAAGAATTCTTAAACAATGTGACGAATTTTACGTCAGCGCCGTGTCTAGTATACGAGAAATAAATAGTTTTTATACAATCGCTAAGACGCATGAGGAATTTGTTATTGACGTAGATATTTAGAAATATATTCAGCGCTTACACCATTTCAACTTTAACGTATTTCTTATTTGAATAATCGAATTTTCACAACGCATCAAATATTGTTAGAGCTTTATTCAATAGACATTAATTATTCAACCGGTTCCAGTAAAACGGAAATATTTATTACAATTTAATTATTACAATTTAAATATATATAAGTTTATTCACCGTCGCAGTTGCTGTCGTAAACTTTATCATCAATCAGAATAAATTATTCCACATGGTCGGTGTTTTTCTCAAAATAACCCTTCCCACGGAGCTGTAAACCAGTTTCTTGTTTTTTGATCTACCACAACTCCATTAAGCTGGCTCTAAAAAAAGTTTTTATTATAAATCATGTAATGAAAAATTTATGACTACGTTTTAACGCTTTTGAATAATCTTGTCGCTTTATTCCTCACATTAAATTGATCTTAACGAATTCCTAACAATCAAAAGCTTGACACCATAACACTGGTTGATGTCTATAAATAACGACAATAATGACTGTTGCCGAGTGATTTATATAGTATATTACATACCTAGGCCAGTAAAATAAGAAAAGTCTCAGACCACATGTAATTGCTGGCCGAGGCGAAGCCAAGGTTGACAAACATGTGGTCTGAGGCTTTACTTTTTACTGGCCAAGGTGTGTATACTATTTTTCTGCTCGACGTAGCCGGAACGTGGCAACTTTGTTTAGCGCAGCGGCCAGAAAGTTTCCACTTTCCGGCCGGAGGGCAGAAAAACAGTTTTCCTGTTCTAAGTCAATAAGAATCATCAATCATGGAATTTTCGTGTTACTTTTTGATGAAAAAACAATGCGCAGGGGGCTGCGATGATCGCTAAATACTTTTGCAAATGGATGGTCTTCGTAGGCAGTCATAGTGATGTACAGAGTTCTGTAGATCAAAAGATCTATCTTACACATGATATATAAACATAATGTAACTAAAATAGTAGCTTCCTGTAATGAAAGCTTACAAGAATATATTTGACGTACATAAATAAATTTCAATTATATAAATTTGGGCTTCTATCGTAGTCATGTTATGCTAATATATCATAAATCAATATAAATTTCTTTTTCTGCCCTCCGGCCGGAAAGTGGCAACTTTCTGGCCGCTGCGCTAAACAAAGTTGCCACATTCCGGCTACGTCGAGCAGAAAAATAGTATACACACCTTGGCCAGTAAAAAGTAAAGCCTCAGATCACATGTTTGTCAACCTCGGCTTCGCCTCGGCCAACAATTACATGTGATCTGAGACTTTTCTTATTTTACTGGCCTAGGTATGTAATATACTATTTATTATAGTCCACGTATAAATTTTTTCCATGAAGAAATGAAAGATTTTGACAGTAACGATAACATATATTTATATGAATTCTTAACATTAAAATCAAACTTATACTAAAGGAACAATAAACAGGCCGTGGCTGACTAATCGATTACTTAAAAAAAAAATAATCTACCCAGAATGAAGCTTCACGCTGTTGTAGCATGTTTTGCTCTTACATCCTGAATTTTGCTGCGTAAGCTATTAATGACACTCTGCGAGTCGAACGGACTCCAATTTTTTTCAAGAGCATGTTCTTTAACGAACGATAATATAGTTATTCTCGCCTTCTCGTCTAACCCAGGTCTGACATTTGTGCCGCTTATATCGAAAGCGTTCGCTCTGACACTCGTTAATGAACAAACATTTAACGCACTCTGGGAAAAAATTTCTACTAATAACATTCGAGCTAACTCTTTACTTTCTTTAGCAGCTAGCTTGCAATGCGCTAGTTTCAGAGAGTTAATAAACACACTGCTTCTAGGAACAAGTTCAACCAGGTTAAGTTTCGGATCATTCTCATGGTACTTCAGTGTTCATCTGGTGTCATGTGGATCGTATTCCAGAGGTAATACAAAGGTTCAAATGTGGCCACGAGTCGTTTTTGAAACCTTATTATCTCTATCCTGACCTTTCACATCTTTATCTCCACCACAATCATCATAATTTTCGCTACTTTTAGAGTTCACATCATTATCTTCCTCTTCGTCTTCCTCCATACTGACGTCAGGGTTTTCTTCATCTTTCCTCTTACCTTGATTTTCTTCAGCTATTTGTTGGACCTCCGCCGTAACCTCTTTAGACGTCACTACAGCGAATTTGCCCTTCTTCAATGCTCGCAAATTTTCTGATACATTCGCCATACAATCGATCACTTTCTGGGACTCAAGTAATGATTCGTGCAATTCATAAGCGATCTGGCAGGTTTCCGAGAAGTTGATTTTCATTTTTTGAAAAATATCAAATACTTGATCCAACCAGACATCTGCCTGGTTCAATTCAGAAATAACTGATTGCTTTGCCTGTTCATTAGAGTTTGGACTAGTAGTAATTATTGCGTCCGAATTTAGATCTGAAGAGATACTTTGTTCATCACTACCAACATCTTGTGTCGACAATATTCCACTCGACGTAACTGCTTCAACTATCGGCGATCCTTTCTCCATAGAACTCTCTATGGTCTGCCCTGAATGATTTGCCACTTCCAGAGCTTTTGGATTAGCAGAGGATTCATTCTCTGCTCTAGTTCCAGAGAAGACATTTTGTTCAATACAGCTCGCCTCAGTCAAATCATCAACGACCATGTCTTCTACAATGGAATCCTGATGCTCTGCTGAATTTGTACAGGCAATCGATGCATGTGAAGCACTTGTCATTTTACTATGGGTGGTAGGTTCGGAAGTAGCATACTCCACTTCTGAGGAACGGTCAGGTGTCTTCTGTTTCGGCAAAAATTGTGGATGCTCTTGAATAACTGGCGATGACTCTGAAATCTCTAGTTGACTGAACTGGTTAGCTATGTTAGTAGGGTTTCAAATAACAAACGAGGTATTTGATCCGATATATGGGTCTTGCATCAGAGGTTCTGGAAAATCAAGAGTAAAGGTTCGTAGATTTAGAATCTTTTTATTTTGTATTCCTCGAGTCAATGCAAGGTAATGTAAATGTTTACGATAAATTGACAATAGTTGGTTTTCTTCTGGTTTCTGAGAATAATCACAGATTTGGTTTACAAACGTAAGAGGATCCTCTGAAGCAAAAAAAGTTTTACCCGTGCTTCGAGAGCTGGCCCCTGGACTATTAACTTGGGTTCCGTTATCCTTTTCCGATATTTGCTCAAGATAGGGATATCTGAAAAATAAATCGTCGGAACTTGACCGAACATCACCAGAAGCTTGATCTTCGTGTTCTATTACATAAGGTTTCTTCATCACAACTTTTTCAGGAGAAACAAAGCCTTGCAGTTCTAATGACGTTAATGTTCTTGATTTGACGTTGAAATATTCAGAAAACTTCCTGGAATTTGAAATCATATTTCTCAGTTTTGGTTTATCTACTACTTTCAGTTTATTTCTATTTTTTTTTCGATTGAGGGTCTGGCAGCTTTATTGTTTTCAGTGGCGGACTGTATCGTTTTTTTGTAGCTGGCAAAACCGATAATCTAAAATAATTAAAAAAATAGTTCAACTATCATTAGCGATAATAATCATCAAAGTAAATTCACATAGCTCCCAACAATACAGATACTCACCGATTCTCATCACGTCCGAACATTTTTTCTTAGAAGCATTATGGATTTTCTCCATTATGAACTCACAAGCATTCTCATATGAATCTAAAAGAAATACGACTTCATTATTTATTCAGGTTTTTAACTAGTTGCTGACTACGTCATAGTTAAGTATGGTAATTATTCACGAGTCAATGTATTGAAGATTGGACATTTAAAAAAATACTCACGTGATTCAAGTTTTATGATTGCCATGTAGAGTTTCCATTCTTTCGAAGGTTCATCGCCATTCATAATTCGCATTTTAGTTATCGATGGAGGTTCATCGGGGTATGCAACTAGGCTCTTCCTATCTGTCGCTCTGCGACGTCGTATCCAAGAGTGAGGCACACTTATATAGTATATAGTAACTTATATAGTAACATGAGACAGAAAGAGAGGGAAACGTCATGGGTACGTGTACGCCCTCTGACTAGACGATCGATACTAATGGGCTAGTCACTAGTACTATGTAACCGCCATTCATTGAAACATAATACAAGTATTCGTGACTATTAATAACCGAAGCCATTGGCATGACATATGGCATGATTGGCAAGTGGCTTAAATTGAGTTAGCCGACGTTAAGGGTCCATAAATTCAAACGTTTTATTTGATAGTCGATCGCATGATGTTTATGGATTCGGAAACAACACACTTGAATCAACAAAATGATGTCACTTTTACCATAAAAGATACAGTAGTATTGAATCATAAAACGGATCGTTAAGCAATGACGATGTGAAACATTATTCAACCAGTGAATCCATAGGACTATAATCGGATGTTAATACAATATCTAGGAAAATATTAGTTACCTTGTCATTGAGTATGGTTCAACGATTCTTCTATCAACGATTTCCCTTTTTGAAATTAATTAACAATACAGTGACTCGTTACATACTAATGACCATATTTTCTAATCAAGACTGCTGAATCAGGTCTTTTTATCAACTAAAGTTAAATTAGTGCTCTAATTAGCTTGCACACAAAGCGATAACAACCTAAACTACATCAATTATTCATAGGTCCTATATGCGAGTGCGTCAACCTGTAGAAGTAAAGTATCTGACATAAATATCCTGTGTTGTTTATTACTTTTTCTAGAAAAGTAATTTAATCATTGAATTGGTGCTATCGAATAACACTATCATCAATTGAAAGCACTCTGTCAACAGCACTTAACCTTATTGAGTCAATAAGGAACTAGTCTCGAGTTTTATTAGAGATGTCAATGTTCTGGTTCGTTGAACATATAAATTTCATAAATGATAATATATTTATACGTGTATGGTGACGATATTAAGCTTGAGGCAGTGCGACAGACTTAGAAAGATTTACACGGAAAGGTTATCTGAATAAAAACACGAGTTTATCATTTAATTATATAATTTGCTACAAGTAACATGTTTTAAAAGACGTATAAATATAAACAATAAAGTATAAACAATAATATACTACTACAGATAGTGATCAGTCTTGATTTCACTCCGTTGTTGTACTCATAGACCAATCAGATTAAATTAACTGATAACTTATCTAACCAATAAGAAAACATAAGTACACTACCCGTAATTATTTAAACAATAATACTTATAAGACATACATAAATTATTTGACTATTTTGGCTCCGGTGTAATACAGAATAATGAGGTACACGAATATATTATTAATCTACGAAGCCTAAACTAATCTAACAGATAAAACCACCCACTAATTAAACTTATTATACTCTACTTATAATTATGACCTATAATCAGTTACATAATAGTTACAAATTACTATTCTAATATATATTTAAACTTTGCATGTCTGCTCATACTTGGCTCTTATGTCATTAATCTTGGTCCGAATAGTACTCATAACTGCTGATGTGTTGGCCATACTCCAACCACATTTCTTTCCGTGTTGTTCAACGAATGTTAGCAAGACCATTCTCGCGTTTTCATCTAGTCCTGGCCTGATGTCAATGTTCACGGAATTGAAAGCTTTTGCTTTTCCACCTGTCCATGTGCACACGCTCAATGCGTTCTGGCTGAAGACTTCTGTCAATAGCAAGCGTGCCAGCGTTCTGCAGTCGTTTGATTCTCTTATGCAACGTTTCAGCTCTTTCCTTTTGACGTAAACACCAGTTCGAGGTATGAGCTCGACGAGTCCTCGCTTATTCTCTCGGTACTTTAGAGTCCACTTGGTATCATTTGGATCATATTCTGGTGGCAGAGAGAACGTACCTCTTAGCTCATGAATCGATGTTGTTGCATTGTCCACACCAGTAGTGTTATCATTATCTCCTGCTGGTATTTCTTGAGTAACTTGTGATATCATATTGTTAGGTGGAGACGCAGAATTCTGGAGGGGCTCGATCGAGTTAAATTTATCGACTTTTCCTAATAATGTTTTGTATGTTTGTGCACATACGAAGAGGGAATTTCGTAAGCCATCGAACACGTCACGTGTGAAAGATAAGTTGGCTCCCATTTGAGTGAAGAGAGTACCAATTACATCCAACATGTCCTGATCAACAATTACTCTGGATTGTTCATGCTGATTTTTCTGTGTGAGGTTTTGTTCAGCTGTCAGAGTCGCCTGATTGGCTTCTGGAACTACTTCGTTTTCTGATTCAATCTCGTTGTCTGTTGCATTTTCAGAATCTGAAGATGCCTCTTGATAAAGTGAGTCTTCTTCTTTATCCAAACATTCGTCCGTCTGACATACACTTTCCTCTGCTTTTGAAGCGCTTTCAGGAAAAGAAGATCCAGCAATTGCTTCTACACAGTGACTGACATCCATTATTGAATCCGTTTCGGTAGCTCGATCAATCATGGTTTTTTTCATACTACGACATTGGCAGTTATGTTCATTTTGAACCAAAGGAAATTGTGTTGCCTGTATTTGGTTAGATGATGGCATAGTTTGAACCTCGGTATTTTCCGTAGAAGAAGCTAGTTCTACCGTCTGGGTTTCAGAATTACCTGCTAGATTTGTATTATTAAATTTTGTAAAACTTTGATTCACTCTTTCCTGTATATTCAGTTCTTGGATTAAACAGCTTCTCTGAGCATCTAAAAGTGCCTGACTTAGAGTCTTCGAGGTAGAGAGTGATCGTGATCTCTTAGTGACTTTTTGAGGCTTAGGAATGGGAGAACTACGTATCGATTTGAGCGGAAGGCCATTGTGTGTGTTTTTTGTACGCGGATCTCGATAATTCTGTTGTTCTTGTTTTTTTTGTGGATGTTCGGCATCCCGATGTGACTGGCTCGATAAGTGATGTGCAGGAAATTGAATATTTACTTCCTTGGGAGCAATAGGCTGGTAAATAACGTGAGTTCCGTCAGTATATCTATTTATCAGTTCATGGCTTTTTACTTCTGGTGAGTACGCACTGTTAATCGGTACGTAATGATTTAAATTTTGGGGAAGGAACTGAATGGGCTGGTTGATCGGGTTTGGTTGACTTTGTATAGCGAATTTTCCGTTCATCATAGCATTTTGATGATAAGCCTTCTGATCAAGTGTTGGAGTCATGCTTGACCTCCTAAGCATATCTTGAAGACGTGCGAATTGCTGCAAATAGTCTTCCCGAGTCGGCAAATATTGTTGTTCATGTGATGTCGCAAAAAAAGCGTTATACTGGTGAGCTAACTTTGAGAGGTTCTGTGCGGCTGGTGTATTCATCATACCTTGGGGACGGGGATCTCTCTGATTAATAAAGTTATCTCTCATTCCACGTCTATCGTCATTTATAACTGATCCATCAACTTGTGCCTGTTGTAAGTGATGTTGAGCAAATTGTGCAGATTGCGCGATGTTCGAACCACCAGGTAAGCCGATTTGTCTCACTGAGTTTGGTGGATATTGTAGATTTGCAATATTTTTTGTGATACCTTCAAGGCAAGTTCTCTTATCAACGGGATTTTTCACTTTTTTCACTGGTGAAGATTGTTGTCTTGCTTTTAGTTTTAATATTTGAGTCAACTTTTCCGAAGTGTGTTCATGATAAGAAGTAAATGGCATGCTATTATTAATGTCTTGAGAGCGCAGAAATGAGTGGTTATCAGTCATTGCATTAGAATTTCTCTCACCGAATCCTTGGGGTTGGAATTTCGTATTCAAAGTGCTACTAACTGAAAAAATTGGTAATTGAGGGTATCCATATTGCTGAAAAAGCTGGTTAGTTGTACTGGAGGCCTTCGGTACTATCTTAGGTGCAGTCAAAGTCCAGTGAAGTTGAGTTTTTTGGCAGTCATTGGGTTCCTTTGATTGCTCAGCAGTTACATCTCGTGAGTGCGGCTCGGGAAGTGAATGTTCATGATAAACCAGTGGAGTTGGTTTCTCATTCATCGGGTTACACTGAGGAGCCGGTTTGAAAGTGCTCAGAGGAGTTTTAGTAGATGGTCTTTCATCCGTGACACGGTCAAGCAGAACGTTCTGACAGCTATTGAGATCTCCTTTAGATTCATCCAGGTCTACAGCTGATATACTAACAGGCTGTTGATAGTCTTCGCCAACAGAGGAAGGTTGTTGTTCATCCAAAAACTTCGATGAAGAATGTTGCTCAGCTATAAACTTCGGTGAAGGTTGTCGATCGATTGGAGGCTGCGGTGAAGGTTCTCGACCAATTGAAGGCTGCAGTGACAATTGTTGCTCCGTTGGCCGCTGTGGAGAAAGTTGATGCTCAACCGGAACTTTTGCTGAAGTAGACTGGACTGAAAGTTTAACTGACTGATTTTCCTTGATAACTTCAGATTTAGTACTCTGCTCAGTATTCATCTCACCATCGGAAGCGTATTTCATCTTCGTCTGATCTTTCTGAATCACCTGATTGCCAGTGATGATTACTGATTGTTCTCGTTTAGAGCTGCCAGACGCTGCGGTTATGTGATTAGTAATCATGACAGGCTCAGGATTTTCATCTAATTTCAAGTACTTGTTATTCAGATTTTGATTGGATTCCTGAGATAGCGGTCGTCGTATCGAAATTCTTGGTAGTGGTTTTCGAGGATTGTTATAGGGTTTCACTGTTACTTGAGGCTTGTCTAAGTTGCTTCCTGACCAAGAAGATCGATTGGCACTACGTAGCTTTCTATCCAGCTGATGTTCTGGTTTAGTATCTGAAATTAGAAACATTAAAAAATCGTTAATAAATTAGACCTGTAGCAGACATAGCAGTTGACGTTTCATATATTCTTCACCTTTTTTTTCTGATATTTCTTTAACAGGTCCATATTCATTCTTCGCTATCCATAAATCAGCATCTTCAAAATCGTCTGAAAAAAAAAAATTAATTTCAATGGTTACTTATTCAAGGATTATTTTATCTATTAACAATTCAAGACAAAGGAAATTAATTATCAACAATAGTA